GCCCATATGGAAGGGCTCCCCCAGCGTGGCTTCTTTGTGGTACCCACCTTGGATGGCGGCCTTCAAGCCAGCTTTTGGACTTCAGGGTGTGTATAGAATTAGAATACGTTATACGTGTTATAGAATAGATATCTGAAACTTTCGTCCAGAAATTTCTTAACATTCGTCAATGTTATTTGTATCTATAAGCCTGATAATGAGAGGTAATATCAGCAGATATAAAGGACCGAGGATCTGGTAAATATTTCTTCTACAAGAATTCGTCCGACTGCAGGACCACACTCGCAAATGTCCAGTTGAATTGAGCCTGTCTTGAATATTATGTAAATTTATTTTATAAAATGGGTACAAATTTATCAAAATGGAAAATTTTTGCCTAAAAATATGTTCTGACGACGCAGAGTTCTATTGTTATTGTCGTAACGATAGGATAAATTCCGTTGTTTCGTTAGAGACTTACGATGGAATTATCCATTATAGAAAATTAAAGCAAATTTTTGGGCCACATATTTTTGAACGGTGAGATTTACAACATTTTTAAATAACCCTGTGATAATTTGTTTGCATGATTTTTCACTAACTCGAGTTGAAAAAAAAACGTTCGTTTACAGGGCTCATTTAGTCAAAATTTATCAATAACTTTAAGATTTTATGTCGCAAAAAATGCAAAATCACCTATCGAGTTCAGTTCCGAACAGACTATGAACAAGATTTAATCCTTCTGAACCACATTTTACATTCCATTTTGATAATACAATATTACAAGCAGCGCTAATTGTATCCTTAACAATGTTTATTCCACCATATACAGTTGTTCATCATCACATATAATGTCTCTTGGTCCTTCATCTGATAAAAATGTCTAAGTGAATTAACAGTTTCATATCCCACACCGCTGAATTCATTAAATGTTTCTATTATTTCTTTTCTTAAATCTAATAGTTATAGAGAATATAAAAGAAAAAAAGTAATATATCCATTAAACCTGCATTGGAAACATTTCAGAGTTCTCTTTGCTCTTAAATTCTTGTTAATTAAAATATAAGTATCATGAGTAAAACATGCATGCATAAAATAGCACGTTGTAAAATATGAGTACCGGTCTGCATGTTACACTGATATGAATCCATAGCATCTATATTAAATGTTAATATTATATCAGATTCAAGTATAGCTATTTAATAACTTCTATGTGAAAGATTTCCTGATTATGCTTTCGTTTATCAATCTAAATTTATTAACGTTGTTAGTTCTATAATTAAATGTTCACGCAAGTTCTATACTATGGTCGATCGGAAGCTATACGCTGGTTATAAACATCAGATCGTGTTCGAACGTCGTTTTACCTTATTTAGTCGTAGATACTGCGATGGTCGTAAGTTATACGTTGATCGTTATAGCTTTACGGAAGTCGTAAGTTATACGGTTATATGCGGTGGTCGTAAGATATATACTGCTTGAAAGCTTTGCGAAAGTTGTAAATTATACGCTCCTCGTAAGCTCTGCGGTAGTCGTAAGTTATACGCTGCTGGTGAGCTTTACGAAAGTCGTAAATAATACGCTGCTCGAATGCACTTCGGTGGTCGTAAGTTATCAGAAGAATTACGGTGGTCGTATGTTAATATATACTTGCTCAGAAGCGCAAAATTGGCTAACTTCACTCCAACTTGCAGACTGAAAAAGTTTATTACACATATATACTAATTTCTAAACATCACAAATACCATCACTCACACGGAAATTTTTAGCGTCTCTAAATTACAATGCTTACAAAAAATTACAATTACAAAAAATAAAAATTTAAATGAATATTTTTAAATTACAATTTAAAAAATAAGAAAAAAGTCATTCTCAATCTTCAATAGAATTTATTTAGAAAATTATAAAGTTTCTCTCGATTATTAATACACAATTAACTGACGTGGAAAAAATTTTGACCGGAACCGTAAGCTTCATTCTGTCTTAGTCCGAACAACTTATTTCTATATATAGTTTGTTTCACAATTAAATAACTTGGCGTAACGTGGTGTACTTAACTATAGCAATTCTGTCAAACGCATCTATACTCTGTTTGATAATGAATGTAAGTGCACTATAAATAATAATGATATTTAACTAACCTATATGATTATGTTATGAAATGAAAAGGAAAGTTTTAAACTATGAAGGATATGCATACTTTAAAATTCTATAACAAAAGCCTACAATTTTATTAAAATGATTTTGCAAAAGGTATAATGACTTTCTTCATTTAATATTTCTTAATAGCCGTAAAAACATTTTACTTTATACTGATATTTTAGATAATTTCACTTATTTAGATAAGACTATAAGGTCTACTATAACAGTGAGGAAAGTGTATTTGAGTATGTACACGAGTTTCACCTCAAAAATGAATAATACTAATAATGCTAAATAACATATTATATATTAATATCATTAATATATTACTATTCCAATATACTTATATATATATTAATACTCAATAATACAAATGGCATATTACCAATTAAAATAATACTGTATTAAGTACAATTTGCAAGGAAATATTCCAAATTAGAGAACAATTCAGGAGCTATTTCAGGTCTTGCCACAAACGTTGGCGGACACGGTGCAAGTAAGGATAAAGTTGCCTGAAGTAACGAAGAAAGAAAAAGTAAATATAAAAGTAGTTCGGAGGGTTTTCAAATGGTTTAATATTTTAGAAAAAGTAAAGAAAATATTATTCGGATGGTTTCCAAAACATGTGATATTTTAGAAAAAGTGAAGAAAATGTTATTCAGTTGGTTTTCAAATGTTTTAATATTTTAGTTAAAGGAAAAAAAATATTATTCGGATGGTTCCTAAATGGTTTGATATTTTAGAAACATTGAAATGTTTTTAGTTTAGCTGCTTAAAATTCAGAAGAATCTGTTTTTGAAGGTTGGCAGAATCATTAAAGAAGCACGTTAACATATAGGTTCATTTCGGATGTCCCTATACAGGTGTTATAATTTAAAACTTTTAGAAAGCAAATAACATAAAATTGAATACTATATAAACTAGAATATTTCTTAGCTTTTTGGCATCCGTGCGTCTTCAGAGATCGTCAAGTTTCATAATTAAGTACCACCTAAATTAGATATATGAGTACATGTGGACTGTGCATGTAATCGGATCTGAACGATAAGAAGCGGATAAAATGTATGGGCTGGATGACGCGTGGATGTGCGTTGGATGAAGCATAAATGCGCGTTATATGATGCGTGGATGGGGTTTGGATGGAGCATATATGTTTGTACGGTGGATGAGGCGTGGATGTGCGCTGGATGAGGCGTGGATGTGCGCTGGATGAGGCGTGGATGTGCGCTGGATGAGGCGTGGATGTGCGCTGGATGAGGCGTGGATGTGCGCTGGATGTGGCGTGGATGTGCGCGGGATGTGCGCTGGATGAAGCGTGGATATGCGCTGGATGAGGCGTGGATGTGCGCTGGATGTGGCGTGGATGTGCGCTGGATGAGGCAGAGGACCGTTTTGTTTGCCGCGGTCGACGTCGTATGTGAGCCGCCAATTAAGCGACGCCTGTGAACACGTCGTCTGGGGTCATTATGGGACGAGGGTGTGTGGTGTGTGTGGCGTGTGTGGCATGTGTGTGTGTAATATGGCGTGTGACCTATAGCGTGTATCTTAATTAGAGGCGTTGCTATATTATGTCTATGTTTATATTGTGATCTTATTATATATATAATACTGCCTTTACCTGTGTGAGTGGAGTGCGTCGAATGTGTTGGGTGTGTGTGGGTTATGTATGTACGTTGCGTGAGAGTGTGGCTCATATGTGTACGCTGTGTGTGTGCGGATTACATGTGTGTGTGTGTGTGTTGGTCAACATTGTCTACATCCGCTAAAGTTACTCTTCTATACAAGATATGTCAGTTACAGTTGAGAAGTAGTCTCATTTGATCGTTGATGTAACGCGATGCATGGCAGTTATTTCTGTTAGAATTTTATGAACGAATCCCCAATGCAGGACCATCTAAACCAGCAATCGTTTGCGTCCATGCAAACGAAATTTAATATTTCCTCAATAATTGTTAGTTGGATCAGGAAGATCACCTTTATTTTTTTCTCTCTACGAAAGAAATAATCGAGAAGAATACTATAATGAATGAGGTGTCAAATCAATGTGGACTGAATAAAAGGGTGGTAACAAAGAATTATTTTATGATAACAGCTGCATATATATCGGCCTTTCCCTCATTAGATTGTGATATTGTGAGTGTGTTTAATATTAAACACACTCAAAATTATTAAAAAACTTAAAAATTATTTTAAACTTTTTATGTGTATATTTTATTTAGCAAAAAATCTGTTTTTCGAACTTTCGCTAGGTTATTAACGGGACTTGAATGGGGTTCCGTGCTAAATGCGCGTTAATTAGAATTAATTAACGTGTTTTTTAATTATCGCACTTAAAAGTTGAATAATCATTACCTGGATTCCTAATGATGGATTTGTGGATGACAGGATTTGGGATGGCAGGATTAATAAATTCTACAATTGCGAGTATTATTTATTTAATTAAATATTCTGGTCATGCTGGGTGAAGCTGAAAGTTATTCATATTGTATACTAGTAACCCAAGTAATTAGATTAATTTTAAAATGAAGCGAAGCAAATAATATAAAAAGCATTTTTACCCTCATCAGGAATCATTATTTTAAACAAGAAACGATAAGTAATTTCGCAGCTTGGTATCATGGATACCATGTGCTAACTTAACTTATTACCCAGCTGAATGCTTTACCCGTGTTAAGGGGAGCGTCTCGGTCCAAAATTTTGTCTTGTCCAGTATCTAGAATACACCGTTTGATGCTGACAGGCAAAACCTTGAATGGATCTGTCTGATCTAATTAGATTAATTTTTGAATGAAGTGAAAAAAATAATATAAAGAGCATATTTACCCTCATCAGGAATCATTATTTTAAACAAGAATTCATCAAGCAATACTAAATAAACATTAATTGAAACAAATTCTATGAGATAATTTCAATTAAATACATCTTGCAACAACATTCCTTTCTCGCAAACAAAGACATTGAGAGATGCTTATCGAGTGAAATTTTACCCTGCGATATAACACTTGTATTGAGTTGTTATCATTATTTATTATTATTAATATTTATTAAATACAAAATTAAATGAATTATTCCCAATATTATAGAAATATTGAGGAGATCGTATGGCGATGGTTTTACAATTTATAATTAGTTATTTTTATCCTAATTCAATTAGAGAAGCGATTATATAATAATAATAATAGCAGAGATGTAGTAACATTTGATAAGATTATTTAAGAAGCTATAGTTCTAATATCAATAATATTACATAGATGTCTGAATAAATGGCCATAATAGGTAATAATCTGGAATTGATGTTACATAAAACACATAGCGGCCAACTCACCGCTACAACTTTATCCTTAACGCATTATCTCAGCATTAAACCCTTAATATTTTTCAACCATATTATTTGATTATCATAACACACAGCACCTCGTCATTTAAACACTAAAATATCACCTCCTTGTCAGTGTCATAAAATCGTGTCACTCAAACGCACGGCCCATAATAATAATAAAATAATAATCACTATTATTTATTATATTAACAGTAACATTATTCTTCCTCATTTAACACTTTTCTAACGGCACTTGCGGAGGAATACTTCTTCCATGAGATATAAAGTGTTAATCATGATATTAATTTTCATCTACTGACTATCACAGTAATATTATCACTATTATTTATTATATTAAGAATAATATTCTTATTCAATTAACACTTTTCTAATGATACTGGCGGAGAAATACTTATTCTGTGAGAAATAAAATATTAAGATCATGATATTAATTTTCATCTACTGACTATCACAGTAATATTATATGTCAAATATCTTAATATTTCCTAATTAATAAGTAATATTATATGCTAGATATCTTGATATTTCTTAATTAATATGTCTCCCTGCAGCCCCGCGGCCCAGCGGACGGCGGTCTCGCCGGCCAGGCACGGAGCGCAAGCCCCGGCAGGCGTATAGCGCGCAGCAGCTCGAGCGTCTCGAGGCTGAGTTCAAGGTATTGAGTTATGTATAGTATTAATGAAACTATATGATATATTGAAATATATAAACTATATAAATATAAAAATATATAAGCTATAAAATATATAAACTATATATATAAAAAAAATATATATACTATATATTACGAATATTGATATATTCGAAACGTCGCATTCCAGTAAAATGTCATTTTTGGTAATCTGCTTTTTGATCTCCAAGCACCCGCAAGAAATTTCGTTCGGCTTATCGAAAAAAAAGGAAATTGTTAATAAAAAGCACGCTCTTGTCTTTAATCAAACATGTATATTGATGAAACGTATACCTGTGACTTGTTAATGAGACGTATTGTTGTGACGTGTTAATGAAACGTATTGTTGTGACGTGTTAATGAAAGTTATTGTTGTGACGTGTTAATGAAACGTATTATTATATGCTAGATATCTTGATATTTCTTAATTAATAAGCAATATTATATGCTAGATATCTTGATATTTCTTAATTAATAAGCAATATTATATGTCAAATATCTTGATATTTCTTAATTAATAAGCAATATTATATGCTAGATATCTTGATATTTCTTAATTAATAAGCAATATTATATGTTAGATATCTTGATATTTCTTAATTAATATCTAATATTAAATGTCAAATATCTTGATATTTCTTAATTAATATGTCTCCTTGCAGCCCCGCGGCCCAGCGGGCGGCGGTCTCGCCGGCCTGGTACAGAGCGCAAGCCCCGGCAGGCGTACAGCGCGCAGCAGCTCGAGCGTCTTGAGGCTGAGTTTAAGGTATGTGTCGTGTATAGTATTGATAAAACTATATGATATATAATATAACAATATGATTGTTATATTATATATTACATATTACATATTATATGTTTCATGTAGCCAGAAACTATATGCTGTGAAGTGTTCATGAAACATATTGTTGTGACGTGTTAATAAGACGTATTGTTGTGACGTGTTAATGAAACATATTGTTGTGACGTGTTGATGAGACGTATTGTTGTGACGTGTTAAAGGGACGTATTCCTGTGAAGTGTTCATGAAACGTATTGTTGTGACGTGTTAATGAGACGTATTGTTGTGACGTGTTAATGAAACGTATAATTGTGACGTCTTGATGAGACGTATTCCTGTGACGTGTTGATGAGACGTATTCCTGTGACGTGTTAATGAGACGTATTGCTGTAACGTGTTAATGAAACGTACTGCTGTGACGTGTTAATGAAACATTTCTCTGTGATGCATAAATGAAACATATTTCCGTGACGTGTTAATAAAACGTATTTGTGCGCCGTGTTAATGAGACGTATTGCAGTGACGTGTTAATGAAACGTATTGTTGTGATGTGTTAATGGGACGTATTGCAGTGACGTGTTAATGAAACGTATTGCTGTGATGTGTTAATGAGACGTATTGCAGTGACGTGTTAATGAAACGTATTACTGTGATGTGTTAATGAGACTTATTGCTGTGACGTGTTAATGAAACGTATTGTTGTGACGTGTAAACGAAACGTATTTCTGTGACGTATTCCTGTGACGTGTTTCTGTAACATATTACCGTAACATATTCTCATAACATATTCCTATATCATATTTCCGTAATCTATTCCGGCAACATACTGACGTAACACATTTCCGTAATATCTTCCAGTAACGTACGTACTCCCCTTACGTTTTTCCGTAACATATTTTTGTAACGTATTCAGTCCCGTTTTCCCTAACTCCCAAGATGCATTTTGATTGTTGAAATCTCCCCCAGGTGGACAAGTACCTTAGCGTCTCCAAGCGGCTGGAGCTCTCGCAGTCTCTGAACCTGACGGAAACCCAAATCAAAACCTGGTTCCAGAACCGCAGAACCAAATGGAAAAAACAAATGGCAGCACGCATGCGTCTTGCTCACCGACAAGGACTGCTGCCTGCCCAGTTATACCCATCTATACCCCTCACCCATCATATATTTCCCCCATTCTACCCCGCTTCCACGGGGGGAGGTAGCTCCCTTGAGATGGGGGGCTTCAGCCCCTTCACTTCAGGTCCTGGTATTATAGCCATGACGAATCAAAGCGGGTTGCAGAACTTGAACCGCTCTATGATGACGTCAGCAAGTTCTGACTCCATTAGCTTTCCTTCCAGTGCACCAAATGCACTGTGAAAATAATAGTGTGTAATTGTGAGACAATAATAATGTTGTCCTGAGTAAAATGATATTGTGTAATTGTGGGACAATAATAATATTGTCTTGTGTAAAATGTTACTGTGTAATTGTGAGACAGTTGTAAATCCGTTTTCTGAGCAGTAACTGTGAAATAAATGTGCTAGAGCAGTGGTTCCCAAACTTTTTCAGGCTGGCGCCCCCTTTGGCTCCCTAGAGAATTTCTAGCGCCCCCCCCACAGACACATATAAAAACATACACCTCTTTCTGGAAATTTATTACGCTGCAATTTTAAAAGATAAAGGTTAAACACAAATGTGTTTTTCACAAATAGAACCCCATTTAGTGAACCAATATGTTTTTCAGCTGTTTTAACTGTTTCAGCACTAGAAACCTAAGACGTCTCGGGCAAATTTATTGGTATTGTGTAAAATAATACTGTGTAATTGTGTGACAATAATAATATGGTATTGTGTAAAATAATACTGTGTAATTGTGTGACAATAATAATATTATCTTGTGTAAAATGATACTGTGTAATTGTGAGATAATAATAATATTGGCTTGTGTAAAATATTACTGTGTAATTGTGAGACAATACAAAAATTTAGTCTTGTGTAAAATAATACTGTGTAATTGTGTGCCAATAATAATATTGTCTTGTGTAAAATGATACTGTGTAATTGTGAGACAATTGTAAATCCATTTTCTGAGTAGTAGCTGTTAAATAATTGTGCTAGAGTTAATAAGCATCTTATGAAAATAGTTGTTAGAATCATGTGTAAAGTTTTCGAAGCATACTTGAGGATAATTGAGAACAATATTGGAAAATATGAAATCGCTAACGAGTCGTTGTTAATTAACTTAATCAATGATAGAAGGGTTAATATTCGCGAGTTTAGCTGTGGATAACAATGTAGATAATTGTAAGATAAATATGAGCTTGATTTTTTGTCTAATCTCTTGTAAATAGAGAGGCAAACTACATTTTGTTAGTGTTGTAGCATTTAACCACATCGTTTCAATTAACCTCATCGTTTCAATTTTTTCGTTGAAGAATCCTTGCGATGAATGAAACTTCACATTGTTTCCAAAATTCCCTTCTTTTAATGAGGATACTATGAGCATTTATTATTGTCTTGTCTTTATTCATCAGTGCAATAAAATGTAAGTTTAAGTTAAATAAACATAATCTGCTTGGTGCATATATACGTGCAGGGAGCCGCTCTCGCGTACTATGTGAGAAAACCCAGCAACGAGTGGGGTGAGTACAGGGAGAAGTTACATACTTGATGCACCTATATAGACGAATATTATCTTCGGTTGTTATAAATACGACGATTGTCATGAGTTCAAGGATTTCCATAAGATTTACGATTGTTTTATGATTTATAATGATCTCATGTTCTACGATTATCATCAGTTCAACCATATTCATGAATTCTATAGGATTATTATTAGTTCAAAGATCATTTCGCTAGCCAATTCCAGATGCAGAGATTGGTCTTACGCTCATCGTAGAATTTATGTTCATTTAATTGTTACCTGACATTTCTTGCTCGCGAAATAACTGCCGGAATATAATTTTCATGCAGCATAAACTATTGGTTCAGTGTACTTTTAAAAAACATCATGAAAAACAAAATATCTACTCCTATTGATAGCGAGTAAAAGCTTTGCTTTTGATTTTGCCTATTGTCGGTTGAAGCATAAATTTTTCCGAAATGAATATTTTCCAAGATGGTCCGCTCAGCGTCTTCTCAATGAATACGAGCGAGCAACCCACGGGATCGAGCACAGTTGGTAGTGAAACACAATAAGTAGCACGGCACGTATACTGACAACGCGGATAGAGCAAGATCTGGACAACTTAGTCTGATGCCGATAAGACAGGTACTAAACGCGACGTATTGCTATAGTATACATCGGCTTCCAAAGGCACATTAAGGTTCGGACGAGATTTGTGCACATCAACTCTACACACCTGATGTTCACATACAGCACTGATGTTGACACGCAGCACTGATATTGACATGCAGCCCTGATGTTGACATGCAGCACTGATGTTGACACGCAGCACTGATATTGACATGCAGCCCTGATGTTGACATGCAGCACTGATGTTGACACGCAGCCCTGATGTTGACTCTTATACACATCTAGATGTGTATAAGAGACAGATGGGGGGCTTCAGCCCCTTCACTTCAGGTCCTGGTATTATAGCCATGACGAATCAAAGCGGGTTGCAGAACTTGAACCGCTCTATGATGACGTCAGCAAGTTCTGACTCCATTAGCTTTCCTTCCAGTGCACCAAATGCACTGTGAAAATAATAGTGTGTAATTGCTGTCTCTTATACACATCTAGATGTGTATAAGAGACAGGTTAGGAATGTATATTCAAAATTTCGTTAAAATCTGTTCNATGTTGACACGCAGCTCTGATGTTGACACGCAGCACTGATGTTGACACGCAGCTCTGATGTTGACACGCAGCACTGATGTTGACACGCAGCTCTGATGTTGACACGAGTGTTGACGACGTTCAATAGAACCATGCCTTGTCATCATATAAACCAAAAGCATGGGTTCTTTTCTATCAAATTGTTAACAAAGCTTCCCTGCAGGCAACGTCAGGTTGATTCAATGTTGAAACAAAACTTACTTCGCGACGTTTAAATAACGTTGAATATTAGTCTTGATTGAGAACGAATCAACATCATTTTTTTCAACGTCGTACATTTAGACCCGAATGGCAGCATTACTATGTTAGCGTCTCAACATTACTTGTTCTTTAAATACCAATTTATTGTTTTTCTCATAGCCAAAGAATTTGATTTCCGTTAATGAAGTTTTGCTTGTAAGGGCTCTGCAACTTCAACGTAAAATTACGTTGAATTCTGACGTTAAGACTTGAATTTATAATAGGTTTTATCAGGATAAATAATAAATGCAGCTCATTGTAATACGGTGCTCATATACTGTGTCATTTAAGGCAGAACATGTAAACCTGATGAAACCTTTTATAAATGCGATTTTAACGTTGTTCAACAAACAATGTTTCGACGTCGTGAAGTATGTTGTTTCAACGTTGATGATTCAACCTGTCATTGACTGCTGGGTTTTTGATTGTTGTGTTATTCATTAGCTTCTTGATATTACTTTTATTCGAAACAAATACTACATCTATATTAAATCTCTTAAGTGGTGAATATGGTACTGGAAACAGGCTGACAATAACAATATTTCGCATGAACCTATAACCTTACGCCGGATGTTTGAGCAGTTCATACTGTTAACATAACACCTGTTAATAATGTTAACATAACACCTGTTAATGTTAACATAACACCTGTTAACATAACACTTGTTAATCCACGCGGCTTGCATGATCAGAAACCTTGCGCGAAATGCTCAATTTTGACACCGATTTAGAAGTCTGTTTGTTTCTATAAAATTCTCTTCTTATCATAGTATCTGGAACTCTGAACCCCTTTTGAAAACAGTTGTAACAAAACTGTACAAAACATCTTTGAATGAAGAGTCCAATTTGTTCCAGTAAACCATTCCGGTCAGATCTGCAGATTTCGATACACGCTTATAAAATATTTTACCTGAGTTAACGCCAAGACATAAAGTTTTTATAATTTTCGCAGCAGAATTTTCCGCAAATTTAAGATTCATCCAAAAACCTCATGGCACTACGATTCCAAAAATCTAGTTGAATACTCCTTACCCAATTAAATCCGTAAAAACTCGTCTTTTGACTGATTAATATAAGGGTAGGTTTGTTCTCTGTAATTTCATTGACTAGTGAGTCTATTCAGGAATGTTTTGTTAAGTGCTAATGTCGGTTTCTATAGATAGATTGTGGAAAATTTTGCTTCTTGTCCCTCGAATAACAGAAGCTTAGGATAACAAAAATCACGCGAATTGCGGCACATCAATTTTGTTCTAATTTGTAATTTAATTAAAGAAATCATATATAAATAAGGTGTCTGCACCGAATTTGATTGAAATATCTCATCCAATTATTTGCATATCATTATTATTCAAGCAATTTTTATAATTATACTTCGCCCATATATTTTTAAATTTTAGAATATCCAAGCTACTACATGATCTTGACTACGAAATAAAACCAATTTTAATCCGAGATGCACATCATGATTTTCTACAAGGGACTTGAAGGGAGATACAAGTAATTAAGTTAATTTCGCATTATATACCTTGAAATTTCTTACCCCAAATTATCCATTCAGAAATTTTCTTCAATAGGGCTTCTTTTTTTATGCAGATAAATGAAATACAGTTTTCACACATAGTTTGTTATTACTGTCTCCTTAGTATGTGTGAAGCTCCGTTAAAAACACCTTAGTCGAGTAAATTGACGGATATAACAGCTGAATTAATATACGGCGCTTTCGGCTTGGAATAGAAAAATTCAGAAATAGATATTATATACTTAATGAAATTGTACCTATTACCTTCGTGTTACACATGGTCCTGATGGAGGTTAAAAGTTACAATTTTTTGTGAGCGGCGGCAGCGTCCGAAGTTTCGCAATTTAGGTATTCCTTGTGTAGGAAATAACGTGTTTTAGAGACCTTAATTTTTGAAACGAAAACTATCCAAAATCAAACGACTTATAAATAAAAACAATATATATGTCAAAACGGCACGGTGGACGAGCATCCATTTGTACGGGCTTTCAAAACATTTATGCTTACCATGTAAACAAATTTTCTAATCGATTATGAAAGAACGACATAGTTGAGGTGAAACTACATTAAACAGATACCGCGAACTTGCTTCAATTCAGTACATTGCAACGCCGCTGGAACAGGCATATCATGTTAAGACTGAGTACTTCATGTTGCGTTCTGATGTTGCTAAGACTAAGTACGCTTAGTTGCGTTTGGCATCTTGTAGGAAAAGGAGAAAATTTCGAGAACCGATCAGACTTCGACTAATCTTCGCCGACACTATGTGACTTGACAC